TCAGCCTGCAATACTGCATTCTAACCATTGTGCCACTACCACCATTAATGCACCATTCTAGATGACAACTACTGAAATTTTGTAAAAATGCTTTACATGTTCTAAGCTGCATAGGAGACTGGTGCTGCTCCACTCTCGCCATGCCAAACTTTGAGTTTATTTATATATGATTTAAAATAAGGTGTTAACGGTATGGCATCTATGCCTAACATCTGGTTTTGCAGTGACTATCCTGAATCTGCCTCAGTGTTAAACCAAAGGGCCAATGTAATTTTACAGCTGTGGGTCTTTATTTCTTCAAATAATATTTGAGCAGTCATCACCATGTGCAAAATTTCAAGGATGTCATCATAGGCAGAGATAATTATTTCTAAGCTCTTGATCCACTATTGAAACATTAAAAACCCTGATTACATAGCCCATTCATCTCTAGTGCAGCTTCCATTCCTTTACTGCCTATTTCCTTCCCAGCTTTTCAGAATTAACCTTGTTCAGTCCTGTTTCTTCTTTATCTGTCATGACATCATTTGATTCTCTTAATCGCTGTGCACAAAAGGGTTGGCAATACAGCATCAGTGAAATAAAACATGATATTTTTGATATCTTAGAGAGAAGGAATGTAGTTTGCTTTGAGAAATTTTGACTATTCTAGCAGCAATAAAAGAAGAGACAGCTGACATGGATTTTTAAAGATTGCATACAAGATTGCCTGCCAAACAGCCCTATGTATTTCCTCCATGTGTTTCAGCAAAAAAAAAAAAAAAACCACTGAAAGATACATTTCTTTTGCTATAATCCTTACATGAATAATTTGAGAAAGAGAAAAGGGCAAAGAGAAAAAAAACCTCGAGCTTCTAATGTTGTCAGCAATTTTTAACACTCTGCCTAAGATGTGATCACTTTAAAATGCACAGCTATCAGCCATTCTGAAATGCTATCACATCCTGTGCTTTGTAGGTCAACCCCAGGGAGAAGCGAAAATAAGTGGGGAGGGGAAAAAAACTCGCTATCTTTTATCGAAAGCTTCTATTCTTTTCTTCTTCCTCCTAAGTGAAGCAATTAGTTCTGATGCTGAGCACTATCTTTATGTTACAAATGAAGTTAAAGCTGTAACAAAATTACGAAGATGCTTAATAATCTGCCTAGATTGTTAATTTTTCATTTTAACTGGCAGGTACAATATATTGGCTGTAGGGGGAAAATATATTGACTTCAGGTGGGGAAAAAACTGCAAGAATTAGCCATCATTCTTCAGGAGCCATTCATTATATAACAACTCAGGTACAAAATGAATGAAAGGCCGGTTGTTTGAAAAGAAAAATGTCAAAGCCTATTAGAAAAGAAGTTTACAAGTAACAGGTGGAGAAATATATTTATTGCTTATTAAATTCATAAAATTCATCCCATACATCAGCATATATCCTATATATTAACAGAAAAAGAAAAAAATATGCAAGTTCATATGTAAATACATAGTTCTTTAATTCTCTTAAATGGAGAAAAATCCTGTTAGAAATGAAGATATGCATAAAGATAGGATAAAAATTAATTGTATTACTGAAGCTCTCTGGCCAGCCAGTTAAGAGGGAGGACAAGAGGCAGGGAGGGCTTAGTCATGTTAACAAGGAAACCGGGAGTTGTAATCCTATGCAAATGTGAAGTACCATGCTTGGAAGGACTACTTGTTTGAAACATAAATTTGATGCTGTGCCTCCTATTGCAAAGGACTGAAATAGCCAGTTTGGTGCAGTGGTTAAGGTCCTGACCTAGAAATCAGGAGGCCACGAGTTCTATACCCACTTAGGCATGCAAGCCGACTGGGTGACTTTGGGCTAGGTAGGCAATCTGCCTGAGCCCAACTCACCTCATCAACTGGTTATTGTGGAAAAAATGGGAGGAAAAATGAGTATTAGATGAGTTGTTTTAAAGTAATAAAGGTGAGATAAATATACAATAAATTAAAAGCAATTATATCAGAAGTTCTGTTGTAAAAGTGTAGATCACTGATAGATCTGAGAAGATGTAAAAATAATATATTTTCCCTTCATTTATTGGGTGGTTGATAACATTGCTAAGCGGCCATAATTTTTTTCCACTTTAAGGCAAAATTTATCAAAAGATAAGCAATTTAGACTGAATTTCTCCTCTAATGCTCCATATCTCTTGTAGCCAAAGACAGGAACGAGAACTTTATTTTATAATTGTTAAAATGAACTTTTCACAATACAGAAAAAAAGAGCAAGAATTAATTTGGAGATCAGCATGTCTAAAATAAAATAAAAAATTGTAACGTAGGCCAGTAAAATCTTACATTGTATTTTATCTACAATTTTAGCTCAATTTCATTTTTTAAAAATTTCAATTTTTAAAATGGCCTATATCTCTTCAGGAGAATGTGGCTAATGGCCTATATCTCTTCAGGAGAATGTGGCTTGAGTTAGATTTGGAACCACAAAATAACAGACTTGGGACTGCAGACCCAAACTGAATTGGTCACTGGGATCACTGGGACCACATTCTGGTGAGAGAGAAGTCCCCCCAGGAATGGACTCCAGCAGAAGTTCTAATAAGATTAACCTCCGATCCCAGTGACTGACTCAGATTGAATCCTGCAACATCATCTTGGGACATGTATATTTGCATTCATTTGTGAGACATGACTGATGTTGGTCACCTATTCATCTCAGATTCACATTTATTATGTTAAATAGAATAACTCTGATGTAGGCTTCCCAGAAGTAATCAATAAAAATGGGATGTGATTAGAAAGGTGGAATTTTTTTTAAAAAAAAGCAAGGCAACTTTCTGCCAGCTTGGTAAAATGGCTACTTAGTTTTCATAAGTTAAGCTTAATGATACTTAATTGTACCATCACATTTAATCCCTTAGTCATAATATCCTACTGTATACTTCTTTTTAGTCAACATTTTCAGACAGAAGCTTCAGCCATCTCACAATATGTTATAGGAATACAACCAACAAAACATCTCTTTTTAAGGAAAAAAAGCCCTACTGTTCATGCATTTCATTTTCCACTAAATAAAGAGATTTAATTTCTTTTTTTCCTTACCAGGAAGTGCCTTGTTCTTTATGCAGGCATAAAGATCATAGTCATTTTGGGTATTTGCAAAATTCAGTGCTTGCTGTCAAACTCTCTTGAATTCTGATAGGACAAAATAAAAAAATGCAAGATGTTATTAATTTACAGAGGATCCAAATATATGGGATTCATATGATAAATACGTTTCAAAAGAGAACTGCACAGCAAATTTGCAAATCAATTTATAATCATACTCAATTTTATTTACTTTTAAGCAAATGAGTGCTGTGTTAGCAGGATACAGACATATTTACTCCCTCCATCTGCCCATATAAACAGACTTTATGGATATACGTTCAAGATCCCAGAAGAAGTACAGAGAATTATACATTATGAGATTCTCCATGCATATCTCAATTTGATAGCTGTTGCCCCATTGATCAACATTATTTGTAATACAACCTCTGCTGAACTGTTCTATAAATCACAAACAACATTATTCCGAACATAAAGTTTAAAGCAAAACTACAAGGGATGTGCAATGCTTTGGCTATATTTTTTAAAACAGGCTTCAGTGGACACAGTGTTGTGAAAATAAAACCTGTCTTTCAAGCAGTCGCATCTTTTTTTTTTCATTCTAGGAACCCTGCAATCCTAGAAAAAGTCACTTTAAAGAGTGATAGACAGGTATTATCTTCATGCTTTAATGCACCTTTTTTGGAAGAAAATACCAAGTGTCCTACAAACATCTGGCAAAAATGATTAGTAGGATCAAATCAATAGACTGTTTATTTCTTTTTCTACTCCTGCTATACTATTATTACTTCCAAGTCTATCACTTCATCCTGAATTATGTTCAAATCATGTTTCTCAGCCTACTTAGTTAATAGGTTATCACAAAAGTAAAGCTGAATACCATAGTATATCTTCTATTGTTCTGTAAGCATCATTAAAACCTGATACATCCTCCATTAACATAATCAACATAATGCCCACCATATATATTGTGCTTAATATATAAGGACTGAAATGAAGATATTACTTGTGCAACAGCATATTATGAATGTATATGTTGGCTCTAATCTAACTGATACAAATTTCTAAATCAGGGAGGAAAAGATTAACAATTTCCCAAAGTAATCACAGATTTGTTTATGACCAACTGATATCTCTTTTGGCAGTTTTTAGACTCATCATTATAACTATGAGATCTGAACTCTTATTTATTTTAGCTTATTTTATTTAGTTCTCGCACACAGAAATATTACAGGGCAACAATCATCTGCTGATTTTGCCAGCTGCCTGCCTGACAGAATGCTGCCCACTATCAGGCTGACAGGGAGTTTTACAATTTTGACAATTGCTTTTAGCAAAATTATAATTAGTGCCCCAGTGTCCTTATGCATTTTATATTGGTTCACACTGTTTCTTGCTCCAATTTTCCTCTAGCAATACAAATATAGTTCTTAAAACATTGGCCAAAATAAACCAAACAAAGGTTGCTGTTTTCAAAAGTCCAGCAGTTACCATATGTTAGTAACTGGACTGCATTCAGAAAGGATCTGAGAATCTCAACCTTGTTATAATTTGATTCTAATTTTTATGCTACTTTGTTCTGAGAGGTCTTAGGGCAAAATCACTGTTTAAAATGCTCCTGTCCTATGCTTGTATCATCATGGTTCCTGATTCACCTTTTTCAGTCACTTGTGTGCTAGAAAAGTTTCACATCCAGTTCCACTACAGTCTTGCACAGGAAAAAAAAATATTGCCTGCCTACACTAATATCTATTCCTAAACTCACCCTTTTCTCTTTTTCTATATGTTCTATATACATTCTATTTTTTTATTAGTTATACAATGTGCTTCTAAACCTTTAAGTAAAACACAAGTCTTTGATTTCAAGATACTCATTAAATCAATTCTGCTTACAATTCCTAATATTTTAGATACATTAATATTTAAATTTTCAAGCTTTGGGACATGATAGTGCTACTGGCCTGTATTGGTAGGATTAAGTTGGAACCCCATTGTTAAAACACAACTCTTTGTCCTTTTCCTACTAGTGATTTATAGTGTAGTGTAGCCCCACCAGGCCTCCTGTGTAGGAACCTAAGCTTTCCTTCTTGATTGATATATTGCCACAGCAGTAGCTGGTGATGCTTGAGACAGTATAAATCACTAGTATGGAAAAGGCCTCAGTTGAAAAAACTGATATATACATATACATATACATATACATATACATATACATACATGTTATGTCTCCTCCTGGAAATTCAAACGAACAAACTCAAAGCAGCCGTTTCACAATCAAATCAAACTGAAGGAAAATAACAAGATAACGGCTGGCAAAAAACTGTTAGGACTCCCATTCAAAATTCAAACAAACAGAGATCTCTTTGCAGTAACGTCCTCATTCAAAATAGACATTTTGTTTCTGGCAAAAGGCACCAGCTCAGCTGTGTCCTTTTATACCCATTAAGGCAACGTGCTAATTAACTGGCTTGCCCTTCAGATTAACGTTTCCTGGTTCTGACGTCAATCCACGATTTAAACAGTCATCAGATTCAAAACTCCTAACAGGTCCCGATCCTTCCAATCACAACACATACATATATATATTCTTAAGTTTTCGCGGGTACTTACATGTATGGCATTCAGCTTTGTTCGGGTATTTTCCCACGTCATTGTAGTTGTGCTTTTAAAGTTGTAGCAACGTTTCAGCAGAATCTCATCTGCCATCATCAGGCTTCCCAGAATTTCTCTTGTTGCTTTGAACACAGTGTGATTTCTGGGTGCACAAACCTGTGTATTTTAAGAGAGTCTCATTGGTACTAAGGAAGCCTTTAATGCCACTGCTCAAGGGATTACATCTGACAGGATTGTTTTCTCTGCATCCTCCCAAATTCCACTAATAATGCTTTGGAGAGCCCCAGACATACACTGCACGCAAGAATGTTTTAGCTCTTCTGTACAAGAGAACATTGTTTTAAATTAACTCATTGTTAATCTCCAGTATTCATTTTTAAAAGGGGAGCATTTTAAAAAAGAACTTAAAGACAGAGAGTTGATTAATTTTTCAAGGTTTGCAAATGGCAGCCAGTTTTGATACTGGGTATTTTAAATTAGATGACAAAGCACAGAGAAAAAGATAGCTTTTTCTTCTCAGTAAAGACAGTGTAAAATCAGAACCTTTCTCTGGAGTCACAGTTCTTTACACAATCACTAATTGAGTCCAGATTGTTTGAATGAGCCTGTCTATTTCTTGTCTTTATCAGCTTAAATATGCTTCTGTCTATATTATTTCTATACCACTTCACAACATTTTTTAATTAAAAAAAATACATTATATTTTAACCTTTTTCATAAGTTTTATATATTTTTTACTAAAATATAATTTTCTATTCATTTTTGTACCTTCTTTTGAAATAAGACCTGTGGAGAAAGATGCAGTGAAACAAGAGATAACATTTTCCGTGGTACACATCTTAGAAATTTGAATCAGTTTGTTAAAAGGTGCTGGAAAACAAAAATCCTACAATGAAGCAGGCTGGCATGATTTAAAGCTCTTCTTCAATCAAGCTGATTAGAAGAGATAAGGCAGGAAAAAGTGACCAATCTTGGAATCGTGTCTAACCAAATGACACTATTGAATAGTATTAAAGGGAATGCTCAAACACACACACACACACGTGTGGATAGATAGATAGATGGATGGATGGATGGATGGATGGATAGATAGATAGATAGATAGATAGATAGATAGATAGATGATAAATAGATTGATATGGTAATGTTATATTGTAATTGGGAGCCAGTTTGACGTGATGGTTAAAAGCAGTGGCCCCCAACCTTTTTTGAACCAGGGACTGGTTTCACGATTATTTATTCTTCCATGGACCGGTACCTGAGTAATGCGAGACTCCACTGTCATCAGGACAGCTCTTCGTTCAAAGCCGCCCCCGCCTTTGACGAAACTAAGGCATAAGCATCCAAATGCAGCTTTCCAACTGAAAACCCAGAAGCACTTTCCAACCGAAAACCCGGAAGCAACTGAAAACCCAGAAGCGCTGTCGAAACAAGATGCCGGCGCCCAAGCTTTGTGGCCCGGTAAAAAATGATCCACGGACCGGTACCGGTCCGGGGACCGGTGGTTGGGAACCCCTGGTTAAAAGCATTAAGCTGAAACCAGAAGACCATGAGTTCTTGTGCCACCTTAGGCACAAAGCCAGGCTGGTGACTTTGGGCCAATCACTTTCTCTCAGCCCTAGGAAGGAGGCAATGACAAACCACTTCTGAAAAACCTTGCCAAGCAAACTACAGTGACTTGTCCTTGTCGGCTCCAGGAAGCAAACATGACTGAAGAGAATACAAAAGAAAATATTTTAATAAAGACTCTTACAAATGAATGAAAAAAGAATATATTTTAAATGCCCCACTGCTGAAATATAAGTTGCAGCTGTTATAGCCCAAATCCCTAGATACATAGAATTTACCGGGTGTTAGAAAAACAATACTATCTATAGTATAGGACTGGTGACTTTCTGCAATTCCTTCCGACAATAGTACAGATGTACCTCCAAAATCAATAATATTGTTTGCAATATAGAAAACAGGGTAATTTCATTCACATCAACAGCTAATTTTATATATAATAATTGGGTAATTTGCTCTTTATAATTCAACTGGAAACAATATTGTTCTAGACATTGCATTCAAAATGGACAATGTGGATTACATACTTCTTTTAAAGTTCAGGCTTTGGAAAATCATTATTCTCTACACCAGTCAGTGAGATGTAGCTACAACTCTGATATTACTAGGATATAAGTCTTAACTGATATTAAGATGATATAAGCATCCTAAAGCATTTTTCTACCGATGATTGAATCATATGGAATAGTTCAGAGCTGTGAAAAACAGTTTTGAAAAATCAGGTTTGATCATTTAAAAGTAAGCCTTATTTTTATAGAGCCTCCTCTATAATGGCTCCTTTTTTACAATACAGAACCCTATTTGTATTTGTGTACGTATGTATTTTTTAAAAAAATACCATATCTCAAAGATGTCAAATATTTCTAGTGTCAATAGAGTGCATGGTTGCTATAGTGATTGTATAGTTGGCTGGATATTTCATCTGCCAACTCAATATTATTTTTGTGTTTGCTTATTTGTAAATTAACCTTTTATGAGAAAGAGTTAATGACTGCTTGAAGAGAAACAAAATTCTTCCAAATAAAATTAATTATCAACGTTCATGTTTTTCTAGAGGGACTGGGAAGGTTTAAAGTGGCCTTTTCATTTACCAGGATTCTCCCTCACCCCAAATAAAAGTAATGATTGACAGATGAACCTAATGCCCTCCAGAACTGGTAGATAATAATTCTCATCATTCCCCGCTTAGCAGGACAATTGTTCATAATAATTTAGAGACCATAAGGATCCTAGAAAAATATATCCAGAGGATTATAGGCTGAGAAGAACAAGCCTTTCTAACAAGGGCCTTGTTTTCAGTTCTACAAAACGGAAACCACTTTATATTTTCCTGCCCTATAGCTGAGAAACATGGAAAATAAGAGCTTGTGAAACATCTTAACAATATAGGGAACTGCTTAATTACAATGGATGCTGCACATTTGGAAAAAAATTAATGATAAATTTCCTTTTCTTTGTTGAAGGTCAAATATGAAAGGAAGATTAATTAAACAACCGGAACTACAAATGAAATAAATGATCAGTCAGATGTGGACAGTAATGTTTCTACTTCAACATAGCATCCCTAGAATGGTCTGAAGGCAGTAGCTTTCACTTTCTGATGAGGGATCCAGAATATTAGAGTGAGATATTTCTGAAATATTTCTAATTTTTTATTCAGTGGTTATGCCATAAAATCATAAATCAGAATAACTTCTAAACTAGTATCTTCCTTGAACTGCTTATACCATTATGTAAAAGAGACCAACTATTTCCTCTTTCTCCTTAGATAAAAATTCAGTAATATTCAGTACACTACAAAATTTAGCTATGATATGGTGCCAATATGAATTGGAGTATTTATCTTTCAGGGTAAGCAAAAAGTGGGTTACACTTTTAAATATGATTCAGAATTTAAGCTGATTTCAGTATTGTATTATAACATTAGCTCATTATTTCTGATTGGTTCAGTTGTTTAATAATAAACCATTGACTTTTATGCTACGTATAATCTGTTGATAGAAATAAATTAGCCAGCTACATTTGTAAATGATATTGCTTCAGCAAAAAAAAAGTCCTTCTTGCTAGTTACAAAATGTGAAAGAATATATTTATTACTATATGCTGATGATATAATTGTCATAATTCATCACCAAAATTAGTTTGCATAGCTATTGGCCCTTGGTAATTATTGCTATGGAAACTCAGTCATTACAGTTTTAGGTCAAAGGGCAACTACATGTACCTGTGTAACATTATTTAATGTTATTTTATCAGACACTTTCAAATCAAATTTCTGTCTTAGATTGTTTAAGTTGGGAATCAGGTAGAGATGTCTACCAAGTAATAATTGTCTGGGAACAGATGAGAGTGTAAATACAGATAGACATATGTAACATAAACTACAGTTCTTCCTGCTTAGATCAAAGAATCGGACAATTTTTATGCCCATGTAAGGCTTTGCTAATTTAGGGGTTAATTACAATAAAGGAATAGTGAATATTGTAGATATGCTTGAAACATTCTGTTATTTTTCCCCCGAGTTATTGGTTTGTTTCATGTTCTTGGATCATCAACGCATTTCAACTGCTATGGTTTTGGTTTTATATATTTGAACTTTGGTACAGCCTTTGCTTACAGCAATAAAATTTTCTGCTATTACTATTGCCGCTGCCACAGTATTTATTTGAACTTTCCAATGGGGTGCCAATTTACCAAATACAACTTAACAAAATAAAGTACCATACACAATGATTTGTTGTATCCAGATGGCTTAGTGGAATCTTTTGCTCCTGAGCCAAACAGAACAGCATGCTGACATAAATTTGGATATGGAATAGTATTCTACCACTACTATATATGGCATTTCCCTCAACCTTAGCAATTTTAAGATTCCCTAGCCAATTAGCCCATTACTTCGTAGTAGATTTTCATGAACCAGAGTAATACGAGCAGTAATTACTTCTTTAATTATATTTCTAGTTAATATTTCTCCACTTCTAATTAAGAGATTTCCGATTAGTTCATTCATAGTAGAAGACATTATTACTTTTCAGACAGTTTTGTTTTTACAAAGAAAAATATAATGTCATCCTGGTAAGGACTAGCAAATTTAGGGGTTGATCGTATTCATGACCATCTGACAACTGACCTGTAAATGACCCATAGAGGAGAAAATGCCTTTTCTTCTCTTGCTTACATTTGTAAATGTCAAATCAAGGATAGTGTTGCATTTTAACATCAAATCAGAAAGGCATTTCCAATTCATTCCACACACACAAGGACATTTCATGCTTTCTGAATGATCAGCACATTTAAATCTTTTTCTCTCTCCTCCATATAAAATATTTTGAGATGAGACTAAGGAAGACAATCTGTGCATTCTGAGTCTTAAGATCCTGCATCCACTTCCTCCTTCTCTTTTCTTAAGTTCTGGTGATGATTCAAATAGGAGTAATACAGACCAACAGTTTCTTCCAAAGCAAGTGGTAGTAAAGATTAAAATACTAACCACAATAAATAAATAAACAAGACCAGTCTTTGGAATGATTTCAGGATAGAATCCAGCAATAAGCTTCCCCTCACCCCATCATAGTTATAGCTGTGCTTTGGTTAACCCTTATATGTGCTATTCCTTCTAAAATAATATTTACTATATGTTTAAATATATATACATAAAAAGGTAGAAAATAGCAATAAAAGAAAGAAAAGTACATATGGCATAAACTATACCTGGGCAACCATCATCTATAAACAAAGAAACACAGAAAATCTATTTTTTTTATTCTCCAATAATGGTCTTTATATTTCTGCAATCCAGATATAGCATGTTTAAGACAGAAACATCTGTGCAATATGTTATAGAGATTGGAAAGAGAAATAGTTATAGTATATGTTCATGCATTCTCCAATTCCATGACGTTCTTGCTTCCATTAATCAACAGCACTATTCATTATAAATTTGTACTCACAATTTAAGATACTATTTTTTTCCATTGACAATTAGCTAGAAATTAAATTGGTCATTACTATATTATTTTGGCTAAAAGAAACCCAATTGTTTGTTAGTATTAGTTGTAGTTTAGATATCGTATTTTTTATTTAATCTAGACAAATTACATGCTAAAATGCTGCTATTCTTCCTCCTCTTTGCCCTCATCCCCTCCATTCCTCTCTTTCTCTTTAATGAGCTACCTGCACAAATTATCTCAGCCTGATATGAATCTAAAATCGAAATGTTATTTGTAGGAATGTTTTATTTTATTTTAAAACAAATGTAGTTTATGTAGAACATTTATAAATGACTTTTCTTAAGGTGTTTGAGCTCGACATGTTTAGGATTTCACTTCCCATTGTCATCAACAATACCAAAAGCTAGGCTGAGAAATGTGATGTATTGATATAAAAGTTGGTTTCTGCATAGATAACCTGAGATAAATTAAGGCATTATTAAAACAACAAACAGATGGAAACTGTATCTCCTGTCCCTCCCCCCCCCAAAAGGCTACTTTAGGTTGTTTATGTAAAGTATTTGGAAGAAAGAATCACAGGAAATTGAATGCTGATTACAGAATAAACAAGAACCATATTTAATAAACAGCAATTGCTGGAATTGTTTCCTATGTCTTTATAGTTGTGCTATAATTAATTAACTTGGGCTTCATGTCTCCACTAATGTATTCTTGCAGTATTTGATTTGCCAGCTGAAAGATGCCCAACAGTTGTAAGAAGTTGAACCCGAACTCATATGGCTATAGGAAAAGAGTATCAGCTGTGATGGAAAAATAATGAAATAAAGCTGCAAATTCTTTCCCCCTCTCCCTTGCTGTTAACCTTCACCTCCATTGATACAACCCTCCACCCCTCTGCTATGTCCAATTCCCCCTCTTGCATATATAAATTAGATCACCCCTGGGCTGCTGCATGACTCAAGAACAATCATGTCTCTGCTTCCAAGATAGCCCTTTTAATTTGAACACAGCAAAAACAATGAGGAAGCCAACATCTGTCCTGCCAAAAGATTTGTCCACGAGGCAACCTCAGTTAGGTAGCTTTGTTAGCAAGGTGAGGAACTGGAGGCATTCTACTCTAATCAAGCTTCCACACATGGTTATCTCACCATTCCATCCTCCTTAACAATGGAGCCCTTAGGTCGGCTGTCTTGTTGCAAAAGCATGCCTTTTGTTTTACAATACAATATTTTTTTCTTTTGTTTAACACTTATCTCATTCCCCCAAAAGTTGTTAATGAATCAGGTTGCTTAGATTTCCCACCCCCAGACTTATAATAATTTCTGTTTTTCTACTCTTTGAAGTCCTTCTTTCTTGTAAAGCAGGCAGCCAACTATCGTTGAATAAAGAACTGACAAATAATCGTTCCCGTACAATACTATTAATCCTGTTCTTTGCATCAGGCATTTTTCAAAAGTGGAAAGGTGCACCCCAAGCCCCCCAAAACAAAACAAAAAGTTCTCTGATTGTGCAATGACTCAGAGGAAATGTAAGTGATAAAATGAAATGTATTTGAAACAGTTTGTTAGAGGAAGCGGGGAAATGAATGCATTTATGGAACAGTTTTTTAAAAAATAGCTAAGTCTCAGCCACCTGCTTCCTGCACTTGATCAGATCGCTTGTTTGAAGAACAGCTATCAATTTTTAAAGCTCATTTTGGGAATGAATGCTAATTAATTTTTTTAAAAGTTCTTCAGAAAACTGATAACTTTTTTTTAAAAAATGAGTTTTTGCAAGAAATTGAAATAACCTTAGTATTAGACTCTCATAAAATCCGGGTATCTTAATGTAAAATGAACAGTAACTGATCTGTTTCAGATACACAACAGAAATAAACAAGATGGCTGTATAACAGTGGAGGTATTCAGCAGGTTCTGTCCAGTTCTGGAGAACCGGTAGCAGAAATTTTGAGTGGTTCGGACAATGGTGGGATTCAAATTTTTTTTACTACCGGTTCTGTGGTCATAGCTTGGTGGGCCTGGCAGGGGAAGGATACTGCAAAATCTCCAGTCAGAGGTGACATTTGCCAGTTCTCCGAACTACTCAAAATTTCCACTACTGCTTCTCCAGAACTGGTCAGAACCTGCTGAATACCACCTCTGAGTTTGGAGAACTGGCAAATACCACTTCTGACTGGCCGCACCCCCATCTATTCTCTGCCTCCCGAGTCTCAGCTGATCGGCTGGGTCTTCTTTTGTTGCCCTGAACAGAAGAACAGAGCTGGAAAGCAGGTTAGTGGGGTGGGGAGGGAATGGGGTTTTGCAGTATCCAGTTGTAAAATGGTGTCCTCCTGGATCCCTACCTGGAACCAATAAGTCTTTCTTTTGACGCCTTTCTAATTTGGTCTTGTTTCAGCAAGGGGTTAGGCGTGGTTAAAAAAAAAAGATGGCAGCCAGGGTCATTCAGCCACTATCTTGACTTTTTTGACCCTTTCCTCTATTAGGACTTTTAAAATTAAGTGTTCCATAATTGGATGATACCTCTTACATTACTTTCCTGATATATAGCTGTATTTGGTAGCATTTTAAATCATCTACCCAGGTAACAGAAATATAATTAATAAAGGCTACACAGGTCCTTGAATTAAACTTGACTCCTGGTGGCTACATAACCACACCCTTGCTGTTTTCTTGGTTCTATGCCAAAATGATTTGTCAAAGTCTTTTTTCAAAAATGAAATTAAAAAAAAAACAACTCTAAATCTTTCGTAGATTTAGATCACTGAGTTGTCAAGGAAAATATATTTTAATCCATAGTACAGAAAGTTCTTTTTAGGACACTGGAAGAAAACATTGCAATGCTAATAAAATCTGAAGATTTCAGTAGAAACTTGGCATGCAAGATTTAGCTGGATGTTTACTAAAACTTCAGGTAAATGTGTGTTTGTTGTTTAGAGAAGAACAATCTACATCTGTTGTGAGCAAAACTAAAGAAACTGAAAGAAGACATTCAAAATATATATTTAGATTTATCCTATGCAACTATTTGCAGTCATGGTCAGTCCAAGAATGATTTACCAGGATATCTATAGAGAAGAAGTTTTTGTTAAATCTGAAATGCAAACCTGTGTAATTTATATCATTTGATAGATAGATAGATAGATAGATAGATAGATAGATAGATAGATAGAT